CATGGAAGGTTTCCAACAACATTGGTTCCTTGCTGGAACAGGACCAAAAAGCATCTGGACCAACGAAAAAAAAATGTTGCGAGTTAGGATTGCGCAAGGGTCTTTGCATCTGGGACCATAGTGAACCCTGCCGCCCGGGACTGTGTCATAACCAGAAGGGGGTTCTGGGACAGCTCGGTGTCACACACGTATTTCTTCACGAAGGTAATGACATCACCACTTGAAGCCGGCGCACGGGAGGAACCAGAATCGATACTGCGCTGTAATGGAGCTGGAACATCTCAGGGTGGGGTGAAGTATTCATTGTTTTTTGATCTTGAGCACATTGGGGATGGTTAAAGCAATCAAACTTTGGAACTTTTTACTCAACATGCACCTTGGCGTCGCAAGCTGAGGAACAAATGGTTTCCCTCGGTGTCCTTGAGCAACCCACCCTCCAACTTGATGCCCAAAGAAGGCAGGTGGTTCCTCCAGTCCCGCGAGGCATCCAACTTGCGCACACATACCCGAGTAGCTGGCCCGATCCAATCCCTGATGCTCGGTTTAGCTAGCTCATGGGATATAGCAGAAGCCACATCATCTGCATCTTGAAGGTTGCTTTCGAGGCCAATTCTTCGGGAGATGATGCCCCACAATTGATCTTAGTGGTGCGCCGTTCATTGAACCATGTTGAACATTGTTGAACCATAATTTTAATTGAGCACTTAGAGGTATGAACCCCACACAACCAAACCACTGTGAAAAGGTTTCCAAATAGTTCAAAGTTCCCACTCTGCAATGAGTGTGAGACTTGCGGAGGTGGCACAATGTGCAAAGTTGCATACGGCCATGGGCCACCAGCAAATTTAAGTATGTCAGCACATACTGATTCTTTGATTCTCTGACAGTGTTGTCGGCCTAACGATGGGGGGCCATGGGGCCTTCATGACTCCAATCGTGGCCTCATTTCGAAAGCCAAAGGAAAATATGCCCAATCAAGAAACTAGAGACGTTGACGACCAACATAGTGGGTCGGCGCCGGCCGTCTTCGTCGCACCGCCGCATCACCTGCAGCCCCAACTTTGTTCAAAGGATTATATTGCCCTCACCTTAACACAAAGTTTCGACTGTTCATTGATCTGTGTTATTTTAGGTCCATTCTGAACACAAATGTATTTTTGATTTAGTTGAGCAGCATCCTCCAGTGTCTCTGAGAGGATCTGGATGATTGAGCTGCTGTCATGCTTGCTGACATCGTCCATTATGTAGATGCTCAGCTGCTGTCCGAAAGCCCAGGCGCCGTGCACCTTTAAGCGAGGTCTCTCATGCTTTGCCCTCAGTCAGAGTGGGGGTCGGAGCAGGGCTCGAACCAGAAACCCAAAGCCACCCCCAAAAAGAACATAATAAATAATAGAGACCAATTGCTATTCATCCCAAACACACATTTGCACTTGCTCGTAGATCTGGGTGCCTAGGGAGTGCAAATTTGGCCTGATCTAGGCCATCTGTGCTGATGAACAGCACTTCAGAATTTGGCTCCTGGGATTGGCTTTGTAATTGCCACATGCAGGTTCGGTCTTTGTATTGTGAATGTAAATGGTCTCGGTATAGTTGGAGGGCCTGGAGCTTGCCATCCACCCCCAAACTCCGGTCACCCAGTTGCTTCTTGAGGACACTGCAAACCTCACAGGTGGTAAAGAGAGACTTGGCCCGGAAGCGCAAGATATCAGACCACCTTCGTTTGAAGACATCATTGAAGGTCGTGTACCTAAGATCCACAGACATTAGGGCGCAGACTAAAGGGGTGCAAACAGATTACCAACATGTTCCAACATAACAAATAAAAACATGTGTTACATCTTCATGTGGGGCGCGAGACTGCTTGGCAACCCAGTAGAGCTTGTGTTGATTTGTAGTGTTCATACAAATCCATGACTGTTCCTGGAGGGAGGTACTTCCTGACCAACTGGTTGTGGGGCAACAATCTTGTTTTGCACGATTGGGTAGATAGCCACTCACGAAGTTCCTCCTTGTTTGCCTCAACGTCAGAAGCAACCTCTTCCCAGTCACTAGGTGCGTCGTCGTCCAGATCCTTCTTTCTATGTGAGGCGCGCCCGCGTCGAACAAACCTGGGTTTCATTGACTTTCATCCGAATCGTATTTGGCGGCAAACAACCTAGTTTTTCCAACATCAAGCATTCAGTTTGTGATCAACACAGCCAAAACGACCAAAAATCAAAAATCACTACCTGCACCAGAAAACTCGTCGGGGAGTGTTTCTGCAATGGCGTCGTAAGCAACTTGCAGGAATCCATCAACCGTCCAGGTTCCTGGTTTGCTCCTATGTTCATGTTTCCCGAACCTCAGGTCAGGAGCTCCAGCCCGCTTCTTCTCTAGCCTGGACCCGCCAACACCCAGCAGGGACGCCAAGCATCTGAACCCAACAGGCTTGTCCAGCAAGGTGCAAGCTGTAGTGCCACAGCCAGAAGAAATGGAAATCTCCATCTAGGCAAAGCGTTGAGGAGAATCAGGGAATGTAAACAAATGGTTGTGACAGTGGGTTGGCACCAATATGGGGGAGGACATGGGAGGACATTTAAAAGAAATAGATTCACAGGACAGCCATGGTACAATTGTATCTTGATCTTGCTTGCTCATGTTCCAGAACTGCTGAAGAAAAGAAGGGAGCTCCTTGGACTCACCGAACTGTTTGAAGCACACCTTTTTGGCACCTCAGTAACATATAGCTATGCGGCGCATGGATGGAAGATATGTTGGCGTTGCAAACTAACCCAACTAAAACAACCAAATTATAGTAATATGCCAACAAAGGCACATGAACAAGTGGTTGCTGCAAAGAGCTTCTGCAGTCGGGCTGGATCCAAACCATTTCTCTTGTAGAAACCCGTTGATTCCTGTTTTGAATACGAAGCCTCCTGGGCCCTCTTGCTGTTGTCATAAGCCCGTTTCTCTCGGGACGCCTTCGGATCATCGATTTGTTCCCGCCAGGTAGTTGCTTTTTGGAATGTCGATACAGAGCTCCAACCGAAGGTAAACACTGTGTTTTGTTGGGCGGCAAACCCTTCAGCACCACTGTTTGAGGAAGAATCACCATCAGAAGCTGCATCATCTTCGGACCCTTCATCCCCAAAGAGAGTAGGGTGTGAGGTAGATGATTTAGGAAATGTCAGTTTCCTTCTACCTTGACAATCCCCATCCTCACAACCCTCATCTTGAAAGGGCCTTTTGCTGGCCGGTTTGGTTGGTGGCCGCGCGACCTCCCTTCTTCCTACACAATCTGTTTCATCCACGGCTTCTGCAGGCTCTGCGCCAAAGACTGACCGTGGACGCCCTCTTTGCGTGCCAGACTTCGCAGAGGCATGGCTGAGGTTCAGAAAAGCTAAGGGTTTAGGGACTTTCTCCCTAGGCTCATCACCAAAAGGTGGCATGGAGCCCTGGCAAGATAGCGATATATACTGTAATATCTAGACATATTTTATCTGGGACATACTGGTATCGTAAAAGAAGATACACAATAAAAGAAAACACACAATCGACTGTCAGGAAGGTCCTGGCAGCTAGATACTGCACCTTTTCTGACAGATGACGCGGGGCAAAAAGCATCCGGAATCCATAGGCACTGCATCCAATTGGAGGGTGAACTTCAGGTTCGACTCATGAATTAAAGCTAGGTCAGCTAGGTTTGTACTGCTCTATTTGTGGTCTTCCACAAACAGCACTGCCATCAAAAGCACAAATCCTGCACAGGCCAGTGACATCCCATTGCCACTGACAGTCCTCAAGCAGGATTCTGACAGGAAGCTGGTGTCCACGGTCTCCTTGGAAGCCGTGCTCAGATTTCCCAATTGAAGCGACCTTTAACCTCAAATGTTGCTTTTGTAGGGGTTGCTTGTTGGCGAAATTAGTGAATGCAAATTAGTGAGTTTTTTTATACCATCACTCAAATGGTCAAGCTTCCACACCAGCAGCTGTTGCGCCTGGAGCCCACACAGGATATCCCAACACATGTAGTTGTTCCCAGCCAAGCATAAGGCGATTGTGCTTCTCGGACCTCACGAAGAGGGCAACCAGAAGAATCTGGCCCCGAACATCCAAAACGAGCCTCCCATGGTCGCACTTTGGGCGCCAAACGCCGCCTCTGAATCCCTAGAAAAAATGAAGTTTGTTTCCATTTGTCTCGGTCATCTTGGCCCCGAACACCTGGT